AGAGAGAGAGAGAGAGAGAGAGAGAAAGAGAGAGAGAGAGAGAGAATTTAAGATGGGGTGACAACACAAGAGCAAAGACAGAGCAAGTAAGGCTCATGGGAAAACTCAAAACAAAGTGATTTACTTACATTTTGGCATAGATGAAAGTCACGAAGAGAGTGAGTTATCAAAGTATTGATTTAGGGAAGACAGATGTGATGGAGGTGGAGGGAGAGAAGGAAAGCTGCATATGAGTAAACTATTTGTCATTCTTCATCCAGACAATGAGCTAAAATCGGTTTGCCTCCCAGTACAGCTCCATTTGGAATGCCAATCAGTAGGTTGCAGACAAAGAACTTGAAAAACCTGTGCAAAATTCTTAAGCATTTAATGAACTTGGTAGCCTTTATAAGGCCTAGAAATGGCCAGCCTGGCCCCTATGAAACCAACTGCTTAAGAAGTATTTAGAAGCACTCAGATCTATTTTAATAAAAAAGTGTATTCTTCATTAAAAAGCCCTGGAAAAGAACAGGGGTAAAATGACCTTAAAATTCAAAGTAGAAATCCAAAACCATCAAAAATTTGCCAAAGATCTCTTTGGCTTGGACAGTGTTTATTTTGTTTCATTTGATTGATTAAGCCAAATGAAATGTTAGTTTTCATGCATCGCAATCCAAATAAATATTTTCCTCAGGGATGTTTAGCTTTTTGCTTATTTGGTAGGTACTTCCTATTACTACGACATGCAGGCCAGGGTATTGAGAGGAAACTTTATTGCTCTTTTCCTTTATACGTAAAAACCCCTTTTCCTCTCAGTCTACTCATACTTCTAAATGCATATGGCCGCGTGGGAAGGGATAGAAATTTTTCTAGAGAAACTCTTTTTGTACATCTCAATCCTATTTCTTGAAGAAACGGTGAGATTATATGATGGCTCCTTCAACCTTTTGACCTCTAATCTGGAAATTCTTCTGCTGATTCATCTTTTCTGCCTCCCATAATCCTGCCTCACGTTTAAGGTGAATCTTTCCATAAACTCCCTGGATTTCCTCTCCCCCTCTGTCCTTTCAGGGACCATTTATGGCCTTTTCCATAGTTTCGGCCTTTTTCTCTCGCTGGATCCTTTCCACTGGTATTGAAGTATAGATATTTCACACGTCCAGCAGCAGCAGCACCACCAACAAAACATCAGCAAACACTGACACAAACCCAGCCCTTAGATTCCTCCCTTAAAGGAGGAATTTCATTTCTTCCTTTCATTTCTTTCTTGTCTTCTCAACTGGGTTTTATATTTCTGCTGTCTACACTTCCATGCACTCCTCACCCCACCATGGTTTCTCTCTCTTTCTCTCCCAATATTTTAATCTTACAGAATCACAGCAATATCCACTGCATTGTCATTGCCTGTAGCCTAGGTATTATTTGACTTCTTGATTTTCTTACCTCCTCATGTGTCGGTATTCACTCCTTTGGTTCTACTCCTTTGGTCACTAAATCTCTCAAGTAAATCTACTAATTTTTCATTTTTTTTCCATCCCTGGTGTCCCTCTCTGACTTGGGAAGATCACCTTACTCTTTCTGCATGCAGCTGATGTGCTGGCCCACGGTGTTGCTACTGGATGAACTCACAGATTTAGGGGTTCTGAGGACTGCGTAGGCAAGAGATGTAGTTTCTGGAGATTTCCTCATCATTTCCACAGTCTTTTATGGGAGTTTTCTCTTGGAAATAGCGACTTCTGCATTTTTCTGTTGGTTACGTTTTACTTCTCTGGCCTTTCCCTCTGGTTTAGGGAGTCCATCTCTGTGGCTTCAAGAAGCTCTGTACTCACAGTTGCATTTCAGCTCTGTGGGCAGGCCTGGCTCTGACCCTTAGTACCTGTATGAACCTGAGAAGATCACCAGCTTTGAATTTCCTTATTTGTAAAACAAATGGTTTCCCCTAGACACTCATGATGCTCAACCCTGGCCTGCTATTAGAATCATGGGGAGCTTTAAAAACTCCCAATGTCCAAGCTGACTTTACACTAATGACATCAGCATTCCAATGCCTGGACTTCAAGATGCTTCATTATTTTTATTTTATGTCTATGAGTGTATTGGCTACATGAATGTAAGTGCACCTGTGTCATGCAATGCCTGCAGAGGTCAGAAGAAGCCGTCAGATCTCCTGGAACTGGGGTTATGGGCAGTTGTTAGCTTCCATGTGGGTGCTGGGAATTGAACCTGGGTCCTCTGCAAGAGCATTCAGTACTCTTAACTGCTGAGCCATCTCTCCAGCCCAAGATGCTTTATTTAAAAAAAAATCACTATTTGTCAGGTTAAAATTTTTTTTTTTACTGATTCTTTGAAAACTTCATACAGTGTATGTTGATCACGTTCAGGCCCCCTCCTTCATCTCCACCCATAGGTTACTACTCCCCACTTGACTTCATGTCCTCTATTATTACTTGTCTTTTTTAAAAAGACCTATCCAGTCCAATCTGTGTTTCCTAAATGCTCTTGGGTGTGGGTCTGTCTATCCCTTGGAGACTTGGTCAACCTACCAGGCATCACAGTAAGGAAAACTGACTCTCTGCTTCCCAGCAGCTTTCAATTGCTAATAGACCCTAGCCAGGGCAAAGGCTTCCTGCCCACCTCTGTAATCCAGTCAGGACCCTATCTGGCTTGTGTTTGCAGGCTGTCACAAGTGCTGTGAGTTCATATGGGCAACTTGTGGTGTCCAGACAACTTGATTTCCTTGTAATCATTCACCATCTCTGGTTCTTAAATATCTTTTTAAAAAAATCTTCCAAAGATCCCAATGCACAAACAAGATTGAAAACTACTGACTTAATTATTAAAGGACTTCTGTTCCAGCTCGTGCTCTTCCCATGCCCCGATCTCAAATTGAGGTTTCTCTTTCTTTTAATGTTTTTACTAAGTTGAGAATAGCTGTGAAGCTCCCCCCTTTCCATCTGCTGTTTGTTCTTATTTACATACGATGGAACCCAGCCCACTGATTTACAGCGCTGGTTGCCTTACAACTGTTATTGAACTGAAAACATAGCTGAAAACTTATTAAACAGAAATAAATTATTTTGAGTGAGTTTCATGCCGACAGTTCCTCATGCAACAAAGGGAACATTTAGAATCTTTTGCATCTAGAAATAACATTAACAATTGATTTGTAGCCCCATAATCTCAAATTTAGATGTAATCCTGGGACCAGACCTCAGGGTTTGTTTATTCTTGGGTATCCCATTAAGGAAGGATTTTGAGGCATATACCCAAACACAGCAGGATTTTCTCATACCACTGCACCAGGGAGTCTTTCTCCAGTCCTCCGTGCTGTTAGTGTCAGCAGAGGCTGTCAGCAAAGTCAATTTGTCCTCCACATGGATGTGGTCTCATTCTTTAAACACCTGTGAAAACATTTTTTGGGTCATTTTGAGATTGGGTCTCTCTGTAGCCCCAGCTGTCCTGGAGTCACTATGTAGACCAGGCTGGCCTTGAACTCACAGAGATCCGCCTGCCTCTGCCTCCTGAGTGCTGGGATTAAAGGCATGTGCTACCACGCCCAGCATGAAAAGGCCTTTTAGAAGACTTCCTTTCTGGAGCTGCTCCTTTTGTACACACATTTCTACATCTGAAATAATAAGACTTTGCTGGGTGTCAAGGGAGGAGACAGGACAGAAGAAAGATAATAGGGAATGACCAAGCATTTGGTTTCACCATTGGCACTAAATTTGGAGAGATTGGGTCTTGACAGAAGTCTTCTTCATGTTGGCTTGATGTCCTTTGGGGTGCTGGCTCTTTTTGTGTGTCTCTCTATTAAAAGTTCCCTTTTCAACTGCTGCTCACTTTCTTGGCAATGTCTTTAAGAAATATACAGCCTGTGCCTTTGCCTGGCACACTCAGGTCCTGAGAAAACCATTTTTTAATGTCTCACTGGGGATGGAACCCAGGGCCTTGCACTTATTAGGCATGCGCTCTATAAGACTATCGAAATTGGTTATTATGATTTCACCAAGGATGGACTAATTTAGTAGCTGCACACAGGTAAGTTATTCATTAGTCTTAAATGTTGACAAATGCCCCCCCCCCACTTTGTGTAATTCTTTTAAAGTTGGACCATCAAATTATTCTCACAGAAAGAATTGGTTAGTTGTCTTCTAATGCTGAGAAAAAAAATCTCATTCTTCCCATGTTGAGCCTTGAAGTAGTTTTCTTGCAAGCTAATTTGTGTCCAGGAAACCTTGTCTGATGTTTCCAGCTGTGATGTGTTTCTTTGGGTATTTTCTTACAGATGGAAGAATTGATTGAGGGTGTTCGCTGGGCCTTTATTGACATGCTGGAGAAAGAAAATGAATGGATGGATGCAGGGACAAAAAGGAAAGCCAAAGAAAAGGTAAGGATTCCTTTTGCTGAAAAAAAAACCACGACTTTCTGTTTAATGGATTTTCATGCTTGACATTGATTGTGCAGTTGTTTTTTATATTGACTGAGCTGTTGGCTCCAAATGACCCCAGAGGTAGACGTGTGCTTTGGATGAGCACATAGATTTCATCACTGGGCGATAACAGAAAATAACATCTGACTTGTTCTTTCTTTAAGTGCATTTTCAAATGCTTTGTAAGTCAGCCTTTCCCTCTCTCTTAATTGCTGTCTGTAAGAGCCACATGGCTTTCTGCCTAGAGAATTTTGCTATGAACCATCATTGGATATGGCAGAATGCAGAACAGTGGGGAGCCATGGGAAGCAGCTGGCAGAAGAGCCCTCAAGATGCAAAGAAGAAGCAAACCCCATATTGGCCATGTGTCCTTTTCCTCTGTGTATGATGTGTGCAAATGTCCTGAGGCAAACATTTTCCTGTAGTGAAACAGATCTACTTCCTAACCCATCATTTTCCACAAATGGCCCAAAGAGCATGCTTATAAAACGTGCACGAGTGAGTGGTAGACCATTGCGGAGTAATCCCCAAAATATTTCCTGACACATGTGGATACTTGCTAGGCCTTGTAAAATTTTCCGATGCTATGCAAGAAAAGAAAAGAATATGCAAGGAAAGTATACACAGCTCTGTCATTTAAAAGAACAGAGGGGTCCATTTTGAATTCGAAGTGTTCTCACGGAGCTGGAACCCAAATGGGTAGGGTACACCTCCTACGCTCTCCGTGGGTGCCACTCTGTAGCTGAGGAATTCTGAAATTCTGAGCATTTCTTCTTCTAGAGGGTTTTTTAAACCTTCCTGATGAGAGCAGCCACCTGTGGGATGTGGACACACTTGGCACTTGCTGGGCACCTCACCAGCAATGTCTGCTTTAGTGCATCAAGAGTGAGGTCTGTGCACTTGGGATTTTAGCCAGCCTTTCTTGTGACTGTTATCCTTAGGCTGGCTGCTTTGAGTCATCCCAAGCATCAGTATTTTTGCCTTATGGTCAAGAAACAAAGGGGTTATCACTGTGGGAATGCTTAGTGTTGTTGAATGGGATTATCCAGAAGTTTAGCAAAGATATTTTCTAGAGCTTTAATACTCCTGAGATGGATAAACCTTGCCATAGATATTTTTGTCAACAGGAACGAAAAGGCAGATTGGTGTTTTATAGTGAAGGCAGACTTTGAGCAGCAGTGCTGGTGGTAGAAGACAAAGGGTAGTTCTGAATTTAGTTTTCTCCCTCCAGGATCTGTCAAAGCTGTTTTAGGTCATGGAAGGCACAGGCTGAAGGAGGCAGGAGCACACAGGCTGTGAGGGGAAGCTCTCCATATGGTAGATGAAACTTTTGGCACCAACACATTGTTGCTTCTTGAACGCTTGATTTATTTGCAGAGCCAGCTTGTGATATGTGGAGCAAGATGTGTCTTACACTGGGCTTTTGGGCCCTTGGTGTATTAGGAGCTCTTTCTAGTAGCCCGAGTCCCCATGGATTGGGGCATGCATGTATCAATTAGCATGGGATCATTGGTATGCAGGGAGGGGTATGGAGTCAGAGATGGAGAGGGAGGGAGAGAGAGAAGAGAGAAGAAGAGGAGGAGGGGAGAGAGAGAGAGAGAGAGAGAGAGAGAGAGAGAGAGAGAGAGAGAGAAATATACAGAGAATTGGGTGTGTGGAGCTAGAGGGGGTGGGGAGCATAAGAGAGAGAGAGAGAGAGAGAGAGAGAGAGAGAGAGAGAGAGAATGTTATGGATACTTAGGAGTCTGTAGCCAGTTTTTTAAGACATCTGAATTAAGATCACCTCAGAGAGATATTTAGAGTTGCATAAGGGAAAAGGTTGCCTTACTACTGGGTTGTCTAAGCAAGTGGTTCATGGGTCCTTCTTGAAGAAGAACTATTCTCAGTCCTTCTAATATTAGACATGTTTCTATTTGCCCTCCGAGTTGCTCTCCGGTCTTCTATTTTATTTCAACTAGAACTGTCACTTTCTCTTCTAAAAGTATTCTTTGAACAGTTTGGTTTCTTTGAGCTGAGTTCAGTCTGCCAGGAGCTCTCCTAGTTCCTCTACAGGTATAAATATCAAAGGCAATTGTCCTACTGGATCTTATTAGGTTCCCCGAGTCTATCTTGTATTTCAAGGTTCAGAGGAGTTTCTTTAATGAAAGTCAAGAAAAAAGGATGTTGTCCAAGAATCTCTAGCAGTTCTCCAAGGCAAGACCAGCCCTGGACCCCAGAAAATATGTTTTCTTTTCCGAAATTGAATTAAATTGCAATTGTGTAAATGACCTCTAGGTGGAGCTCATAGCACTAACAAAAAAGACAGAAGCCGAAGGCTTTTTTGTGCAGCTTTTTACCCTGGGGCTGTTTTTGAAAAATTATTTTTTTCTTGCCCTTTTTCTTTGATGTCCTCAATTTGATTGCCTTTTAATAGTCAACAAGAAAGGAGAGACTCTGCCTAATAATTCCTTGAATATTAGATGGAAATCTCTGACTATCTCTGGGCTTTGTCTTTCTGGTACAGAGTAACCCCTGCATTAAGAAAGGATTTGCCTGCATTTGAAGTGGAGGTGAATGATTCGCCTTCTCTTCCTGGTATGACTTGGCACTGCTCTTTGGGCATGTGTTGTATGCAGTATATCACCCAGGCGGAAGATTTCTCATCAATAATTGGCCCATACTGGGCCAATGCTGAGTCACTTGGCAACCCGTTGGGGAAGCTGAAAAAATGTTCTGATTTGTGAGGGGCCTAAAGCTGTTCTTTCCCTCACCATGAAGCTCCGGACTGCAGCTAATTAAAGTGCCTCCTAAGAGATATTGACCTCAGCCTCCCAAACTGAGTGGTGGAGGTACTAGATATTCGCAGTGGCCTGAGGCCCCAACCCCTTGGCTTTTGTGGCAGTGACCCTGTCTCAAGATGGAAGTGTGTGGCTAGGCCTTTGTTGTACTCTTCGCTAGGGGTGATCACTGTAAAAGATAAATGAGGATGTCTCTGCTTCTTTGAAGGTTAAATTTGTTATCTCTGTCTCCCTCCCTTTTTCTGCTCATCTCTTGAGAGGTCATGGGTGCTTTTGTGTTTTGAAACCCACTGTGTCGGGTTTCAAGTGGAAATTTAATATTTGGAAATAAGCATCAATTTTTGTTTAGGATTCTGTGTTCCCTGCAAGCATTTGCTCTTATTGTAAACAAGCAACAAAGGACAAGGAGGCCTGTTATTTTTTCTGGTTATTATAGCTGTTGAATAAGCATAAGGTGATAATCAAATGATTTGGGGGTGTCTGCTGGAGGATTCACCTTTTCCAGAGCAGAGGAGGTGATTGTCAAGGTCACTCCATAATGATTTTGAGGCTAGGCTGGAAGGGACTCAGGTCTGCCTTTGGCTACCCTGGCCAGCTCTGAATCAGATTAGGAGGAGCAATGTCCTGAGAGAGGCTCAGACTTGTCCCCAGCTGAATTCAATTACGTAGCTCAAAGCTGCATCCCTACTGAACTGCTTCCTTATGCTCTTTGCACTTGGGATCTAAGCTTGTCAGACCATGCCCAGCGAGAAAATACCAGCACAGAGCACATGGGGAGGCAGTGTCCTGAGGGTATTGTGAGGGGATAGCCTTGGCCTTGGCCACAGCAGGTGCAGAGAATTGCGTGCATGTTCCCGACTCCGCAGGAGGCTCCGCGTGTGACTCCCACGCACAGGCTTTGAGGGAAGTGGGAAGAATTCGATTGCAGAGAACAAAACAGAGCGTACCTCACCTCTTTGCCTTTGCCACTAAAATCTGCTAATCCTGGGCATTGCATTTCGCACAAGCATGTAGTCTGCATGGGCCAGTCATGACCCCCACCCCCATTACCAGCTGAACCCGGGGTTCCCCACGTGTGGTTCCAGGCCTCAGGTACCTAGGAACTTGTAAACCAGACAAATCTCTACACACTGATCTTAGCAAAATCCGGGAGTAGAGTAAGGCCAGGTGGTTCTGATGCATATAGTTTGAAGCCCCCATACTAGTTCACTACATACCTGCCTGAATTACAACTACAGGCTCCTGCATTCTGCCCAAGGGTTTTCTTTTCCCACCACAGCCTTCTTTGAGTGGCACAGCATTCAGAAGAAGTGCTATGTGGTCCTCAGCTGTCCTCAGCCCACAACTGATGTGAGGGTTCCTGCCCCTGCCCCTGCTCCCTCCTGCCTCTCATGTTTTCTACACTGGCTCCTGGGGCTTCCCCACTGGGATGGAACTTCCAGGCGAAAGTGCCCTTTGCTGCCTGCCTTCCTTTTTCCTCTTACTTCCCCAGACCCCTCCTGGTGTTCCTTTCATCCTCCAATCAAACCTTGTGCACCTGAATCTGTGTCTTAAGGTTTGTTGCCAAGGGGATCCCTGGATGAGGATGCAGCCTGTGGGTTATGTACTCTTTCCATGCTCCCTTGGTTTTGGTGACAATGCAGTTCATTGCATCTGGTTGTCAGCATTCTTTCAGCAAATGCAATTGCACAGGCATTTGCAACCGGCCTGGAACATACCAGGTGCTGAGCTGGGAGTTGTACATTCTGACAGGGGGATGATCAGCCTCAGTCCTCTTCAGCAGGGACCTTCATACTTTTAGGATGAAGTGAGAATGCTATAGATGTAAGGCTGGTACCAGAGGGTTATTTAATATAGAGATGGAAAGTGGTCCTGAGAGCCTAGGGGAGGAGGCTTTAAGGAAGCCAGCCATGTTGTGCCTCAAGGTGCTTTATTTCAGGAGTGCTTACCCTACCTTTCCTTTCTTCCTCTGTCGTATCCCCAGATCCTGTCACTGTTTATGACCTTGTAGCCTATGAACAAATTAAGTCTCCTTCTGAGCTCATCCTCATTTGCTTATTGGAACAACTGTACCCAGCAGCTCCTTTCTTTTCGTAACTTCACTCCTGCTGCATCGTATGTTTTCCCTTTGGAATTGGTCTGGAAAGAGAGGAAACCTTTAGTCAGTGTCTCCTGCCCATC